GAAGAAAAGAACACATTAAACACGAAATAAAATGAGAGGACAAAAGAAAGTTTTTCATAGTTCATATTAAAAGTTGTTTTCTTACTAGAAATTGTAATTGTCTGACAGAGGAAGAAAGCTATAAAATCCTTGATGAAAAGGCGGATCGAACACATAATAGAAAAGAATAATATTTACCTTGGTAAATAAATTCCATAATCAGAATGAAAATCGGAATGTCGTATAACTTTTCTATAGTGATCTTGATGAAAGGTTGTATTGATCGAATCCCATGAATTTAAACCATCTATCGAATCGTGTGCATAGGAAAAACGTGGTAAACGAGCTCGATCTTCATTATGAATACTGCTACATTGTATTAAACGACGAGTTAAATCTTGTTCAATTTTTGGAGATGCTGTGCAAAGAATCAGTTCACCCACGGCTGCACTTGGCGTCGTTGAATCATACTGTGATAAACCCATTCATCGACGTCGTGAGAAACCGAACATCTGTAAAAAGAAAGTACATTTGACAACTTAAGCTTTACATCTGAAGTTTCATCATTAGATCAAGGAAAATATTTTCTATTAGCCATTCCGTTCACAGAGACTTCTTTTCAATTAGCAGACAGAGTTCCGTTTTCACTCAAAGTTGACGTAAAACAGATGGATAAATGAATATATTCATGTGAAGTGAGAAACTATCAAAGATCCTCGACCGGTAACACGATGACCCTCGCCAAATAAATAAACGGATAAAAAACAAGATGCTAACTGAAAAAGAAGAAAATATTATATGAAAACGAATAATATAAAATAAATAAATGAAAAAGGTAGAAATATCCGTATATAACTGTGTTTTGACATTCAGAAATAGGAATTCAAAAAAGAGCGATTTTGAAAAAAATAATAACGAAGAACAACAGATGACAAGCTCTGGAAGATTATTTCAATCGGTGACTATTGACTAAACGAAAGAAGAAATGATTAACACGAGTAGAACTACGAACATACTTGAAACCATCGTACCGTAATACAATCACAACATTTATAATCACATAAAAAATAGAAACAAAGAATGAAGTACTCATATTACTCTGTAGAATTAGGGAATGATAAATGTTGTTGTCAACAATCGACGAAAATTATCACACTGAAAGAAAATCATTTGATCTGAACCTACAGAGTGCTTGAATAATCAGAGCTCTAATATAGATTGGTTTTCATCACACGTGTTTACTACTTAAGAATTTGAATTTAAACTTTTATCATAACGTTCATTCTTGAAGAAAAATCAGATACTTTTTTAATTTACTTTTTGTTTTTTTATTGTTGTTTATTTATTTATTTATATTCAGCTAGCGATCGTGTTCATCTACAAAATATTATATCTTTGATTGGCGAGAATGATGTCTAATAATACAGAACCAATGAAAATGACGATTTATCATTGAGGCTGATAAACCAGTAACATGAAAACGCTTGACAACAGCATATTCAATGAAGTACATTAAAATAACATAAAATTTTTTATCACCTGTGGCGCTCTACCGTGAATTTAATTATGAAAACATGATATTCTAATATAGAATTCAAAGTATCAGATTTTTAAACATTTGTCAATGCTTTAAACAAATACTCAACATGGTAAAAGAAAAATCATCAAATAAAAATTTCAAATGAAAAACGTCCACGAAAAAAGCGTCTAAGAAAACTGACAACTATAAAACTGTAGGAAAAAATTGTCAAAGAAAAATAATCGTCAAGACAAATGATCGTTCAAAATATAAACAACACAAAAAAAATTTATTGCGAATGGTGTTTGCGACAATTGTCTTTCTCTAAAGTTTGAGTCGGAAGTGTTACTGAACATACAAACGATTATTTTCTTCAGTACTCAAGCCTATAATCAAAGTTGACCGAACTACGCTCTTATTCTGTTTTTCAGAAACCCCAAAAAATAATCCGAACCTTTCTTAATGAGGCATGATTGTAGCCCGCACATTTCTGATTAAAATGAGACCTCTCCCAACTCTACATGGCCTTTCTTTGCAAAGTTATAGAATTTACACGAAGAGCCCTAAATTAATTTCTTCTTATTTCTGTAGCTTTTAGCTGACAATGAACATTTAGGGCTTTTGTTGTAAATTCTATAACTTTGCAAAGAAA